ACGAAAACATGCAGCATCGGTGCGCTTTTCTTTTGCCATTCAATGCTGTGTTCGCTGTTTTTATTTCTCTCTGGTCTGATAATGTGTCAGCTATTTTCATAGAAAGCTGTATGGGATTTGTTCTTTGTTTGTCGCTCTTTTTCGTTCGCCCAACAAGCTGAGATTTATGTTGAGATTCGATTTTCGAAAATCTTATTTCACCAACGACAAACGCCATATCACATATTCGATGTCTCTCTCTCTCTCACACACTCTCTTGCTCTACCATCCGTCCGCCGCGCACACAAACTAGTCATTCGCATAATACTTTACCGAATTCATACATTTTTATAAATCCAATTTTAAAATTTATGATTTTCACGTAGCAAATACATATTTCGTGTGTGTCTTCACAACGGCTTTTTTGGCGCTTTCTTCACTCTCTCCATCCCTCTCGCTCACTCACTCGTTCTTTTGCCCACATTTCTTTGCTTCGATTTCTTTGGGAAGTTTGCGATATTTCATCTGTTGATAAATGCATTGCATTGAATTTTTGTTTCAGCATTTTGCTTCGTACGGAAACTGGGTTTTGTTAGATTGCATAAAAAAGGCAGCAAATGCTGCCATTGTAGGTGAAAGCTTTTCACTTGAATTATGTGTATATGCAAGAGAGAAGAACAGATTGTGCGAACTCTCATTCGGATGCATGTGAAAGAAGGAAAGAATGAAATGAAGCAAGAAAGCATGAAAGGGAAATGTGTTTTTACTTCTGTGTGCGCACATTTTAAATTTGATATATTCATTTGTGTGTGAAGGTGCTATTTAAAGCAACGAAATGAAAATGTGAAGAGAAAAAAAATGATGTCGCTTCTTTTTTTTCGCTACAGTGAAAATTGGATTCTTTCACTCAATCGCTTTGATGCTGCAAAGTTGGTTAAAAATGTCGCACTTATATAAATGTGTCATAATTTGAACTTTCCATTAGATTATTTCGTTTGATGTACACTTTTTGCCGTGCAATGCACATTCCGTTTCGAATAATCCTAATTATGCGAGAGCGTCGTATCATTCGTTGTTGTGTTTCCTTATGGGGATTTCAAATACGAGACACTCCGCATAAAATGCCATCGACAAAATGGCATAAAAAGCAAGCATAATAGAATGAGATGAAGAGCAAAAGTGAAATAAAAGTAGACGAAGAGAAAAATAAGCACCACTATACTCATTCGCTTTTGAATTAAACATTATAGATGTTCGTTTTCAGCACTTAAGCTTATCATGACTTGGATGAAGTTGAATGAAATAAAAAAAAACCCTTTTTATTCAGCATATTCACATTAGTTCGTCTGGAAATGTGGCAAATCGTGTCATGCTGTCAAATTATCATGCGAAAGATGGATTATGTCTACCATCGTCGCACCATCCGTTAATGATGTTTTTGCCAAAGATGAGACTTCAACTATTCCATATGACGGCATTGTTTTCAAATCGGAAGATTAAATGAGACGCAATTTGTACGTTTCTATGTGGAATTTTGAGCGACACAAATGGGTTGCGGCACATATATTTCTGTCCATTGTACTACTTTTAATATTTAATTCGGTTGCGACAACATTCATAAATACAAAGTGGCGAGCATCTAATTGAAAATGAAAGGAGACGAAAGAATGGCGAAGACAATGTTGTGTCAGCGTTTATGTATAACAATGGACAATCCAAAAAGTCTAATCAACTGTCGCCATCATTATCGAGAATTATCGCAACAATAGATACATGCACACAGCGACTGAATATGGCGAGCACAGATGATTTTTACGACAAACGATTAACAATCGGCAATTCAGGGTTGCTCGTTTGCTGAATCATATTCACACAAACCATTCATTCACACTCATTGCCGTCGCTTTGGTCGCTCATTTTTTTGATAACACATTTTACGACACACAAATGTGTCCAGTTTTGCAACAGCTCCATTACAAACCATTTCATATCCAATGGTGGTTAATATTGATTTTATGTCCTTAAGTAGTTGGCCATTTTTTGAATGAGCCATTTCCATTGTCACGCTATGCGACCGATGTGTATGCGTTACGTTGCCATTGATTTGTGTTGGCCGTTTGGAAATTTATTCTTCATTTTCTGTCGTTGAATGAGTCTAATTTATAACCGGATTGCCAGTCAAAATGGCATCATCGAAACGATTGCAAGTGATATTTTCAGTTGAAATCGCTTATGCCAAACAATAACTGAATCGCACGTTATGGGCGAATGAGAGGAAGAGAGTGAAAAAACGACATTTCCAAATAATTTATAAGTACTAAACTCGATATCAAGCCGAATGCACGCATTTGGCCAACATTTTCGATGAGAATTCAATAGAAATTTTGTGGATCGTCGGCAAAATAAACAAAATTTATGTGCCAATTCGAAAATTGTTCCTTTAGAAAGTATCTTCTTGTTCATGCCTTTTTTGCGCTCCATTGAGGCGTCGAGAATTGAAACTATTGCAAGAGTTTAAAGTGACAATGAGCATTGGCCACTGATAGAAAATGGAAACAGAAAAAAAGAGGACAAAAAAAAACAAAAACGCAACTATTAAGTCGATGCAGTTAAGGCGGAAAAAAATCGAGTGAAAGTCGTGTTTTTGTCACCAAATTTCTTGCTTTTTTCTCTCGTCTTCCTCCTAAGAACTCGAACGCAACTTTGAATTCGTTTGTTTCATTCTTTTGCTTGTTACATTGGTGTTTTTCTTCCAGTCACCATATCGTCGACGATTGTTACAACCACTCATGAAATTAAGGACTATGCTACTCTCTCGTTTTTGGCAATACTTAATAGACGAATTTAAGGATTTTTTTTCTCATCCCGTTTCATTCTCTTTCTTTCGCACATTTTTGGCGAATGCAAAAGAAAAAACAACAGGACCTACTCCAAGCAATTCTTTTTTGTCAGCTGTGAGCCATTTGTTAGAACGACTGCACAATTACTTCGGAAAACAGCAGATTCTTGTTATATATTGAGGAACAAAGCATGCAATTCTCTTCTCGTCTTTTTTTTCATTTAAATAATTTTTCTTTCATTTTCCGAACCGGGGGTAATTAAATAAAAAGAAAAACTTTGCCAGAGTTGTTCGAACTTTTCTCTGTTTCGAACAGCACAACGCGCACATATACGCAGCAAATGTATACTGGCCAAAGGCATGAGCGAGAGACACAGAGATGCTCAAAGCAGACAGAATCGGGTGGAAAGTGCTCAAAGTATTGTTCGCTATCGAAATATCTAGTAGTTATGGGGAGTATGGTGTAGTACAACTCCCCGTCCTCAATGCGTACGTGTCACGTTCAATACACAAACAACATCCATGTGCCCATGTAAAACACATTTACCATTTTTCCTCTTTCATTTCTTCTAATTAGTTATTTTTTCCACTTAAAAGGAATTATTTTTCTCTCATTCACTCTGACTCTGTCTTTCTTCATTTTTCGTCCCCGCTTCGTATTCGTCTCTCTTTTCGCAAAAGTGATGGCTATTCTTTGTGTGTGTGTTTTTATTTGAGTTGCGTCTCTTTTTTGCCTTCAAACTATATACGGCCCGCGTGTGATAAGAGAAAATGCTCAATGACAAGAAAGAGAATGAACGAACGAACGAACAAAAAAAAATTAGCGAACATAATGAAAGTTTGGACTGCAAAACGTCGTTGGCAGTGCAACTAGAAAAATCGGTTTTAGTGAAGATAAATGTACATTCAATTGAACAAGACGTAGGAAGATCAAGAAAAGGAACAAAATGCTCAACTCCAGATACTAGCAAGAATGTGCCATGAATAAAAATTGCACAAAAATAGCCTTTTATATTATGGTACTTCGAAGGGAATACTTGCAGCCTGCGAACAACAACAACAAAATGCATTTTTCCTCGAATGCCTCGGAAAATTAACTATTACCATTGCCAAACATCTATCTTCTGTGTTATGTTCTTTGTGCGTTTTATTAAGAGAGCGAAAAAATACTCTATCGCTTCTTCAGTAAATGCATTGACCCAATTTTCGTGCACAGTAAAAATGCGTCGCTTAAAGTGAAATCATCAGAAAATGCATTCATCTTTTTATTTCGTTTGCTTGCTGAATGGTCTGGGTAGAGAGAGAGAGCGATTACGGAGGAAGATAGAGAGATGTAGGGAGATGGAGAGAAAAAGAGTGATACAAGCAGCGAGAGAAAAGGACTGATAAATTAAAATTTATTACACGATTTTGGTCCAAACCAGAAGACAATAGCCAACTTAGTTTTTTTACATTGCAAATGCGGCATACTTGGCTCAATGTAACACACAGAGGCTTGCAGCGAATATTACTCTCTGTGTCACTTCGCTCTCTCTCTCTCTCTCTGGTTGTCTCATGTACACACATTTTCATTTTTAACAAATGTGTTGGAGTAGTGTGCCTGTACATATCCGATAACAGAAAAGCGCCAAACTCACTGGATGGCAATTTAAAATTTGTTCACTGGAACAACGACCACTTCCATTCATTTTTTGTTCCACTTCGCATACAATTGGACCGGGATAAAAGACAGAAGCACGACAAAAAAGCACATTTCGTTTTAAAACATATGAAAATGACAGATGAGAACCAATTGTTCGTAACTCAAACAGCGGGAACAACGCAACGAAACTTATTATTCACGTTCCTTTTCTCTCTCTCTCTCTCTTTCTCTCTTTCACTATAAAATGCTGTTGAAAATTTAATTCAATTACAAACATTAAAACTATAGTTTTCATTTTAATTAAATGTAATTCCAAATATAAAACAGTAAATAGACATTATTTTCAACGAAGAGCTTACAATTTCTAATCAATTTTTCTCTATTCAATTTCATTCAACGAAAAATTAAATTTGCCCACGAATTGAAAACATTAGCAACATTACAAAACATACAGTTTTAAAGAGGAAGAGAATTAAAAAAAAAAACAATACACACAACTAACAAACTCAGAGTTGTAATTGAATTGAAATGTTCACTTACCGGCAAAGTAGGCCAACATAGCAGCAAGTATAACAGCTACGAAAATTAAGGCAAAACTAAAACATTTCCAAGAGCACCTGTGTTGACATCGCTTGTCTATGTGAAACCTGTAAACGAGAACCAGAGGGAAAAGAAGAGAGTTAGAGAAAATTTATATGTAAGTGCAGAGAACAAGAGAAAATGGGAAAATTGTCAAAATTGAAAATTAATCCATCCAATAACAATAAAGATAATAATTGCATCGTCCAAATAAGGTCGAATGAAGGAGTTGCAACATTCGTAAGGCACTAGCATCTCCTCGACGAATGCTGTATAGAGTTTTTCATTATATTGAGAACAAGCATAAACAATAAATTTAACTATGTTTGCGATGCAAAATTAAATTTTGACTGACGCACTACAACAAACTAACCAATTTTTGATGAATTAATTTCATTTTCGAATGCATCCATCATTTGAAATTGTATTCTTGTGCACTCAAAACACATTTTGATGTAATTGAAAATCCATTTTGAAATGAAAAAACGGAGAAAGAGAGATAGCGAGAGATAATGGTTCGTGGATTTAATGAAATTATTTCACGTTTAGGAATTTGTTTATGATTGGTTTTGCTTTTGTTGCAAATTCTATATTCGAGCCGAATAATAATTAATTTTTCATTGAAGAGCGAATAAAGTTGATTCCGAGAAATGTGCCTTAGTATTTAAATCAAGATCCCAGGATATTTATTCTCTGATGGCTAAAAGTTGTTATGTTGATCGGACTTCAAACTAAATGGATGTGTATTTTTTTATTTTCACATTGGAATAGTGAATAATTGATATTACAATCAAGTGAATACATTGCACAGTACACACACATGATTTTGTAGGGCATCATGCCCCGAAAAGCTTATTAAAAGTTCTTCACATTCGTTTGAATGAAAAATGAGTAAGAAACAGAGAGAATAAAAGAGCGAGGAAGGCAGAGAGAGAGAGAGAAAGAGAGAAAAGAGTCGAATATGTTCGCTCAACTCAAAATCATGTGGAGGATCTAATTGAAATGAGAAAAAGAGAAAGTGAATCATCTTTCTCTGAGCAAAACTATTTAAATATGTATTACATATGTGATATTTTGAATGAAGATGATGGTTTGACCATACCCACAGGATGTGCAGTTGAGCGATGAGAAATGTGCATTCATTCACATTTCATAAAGTGAAACTCAACTAAAATTCAAATCCCTTTAGAATGTTTGTGTGGGTTGTGTAGATTTTCTGTTGCAAATCGACTAGCATTCACAAAGTGTGCTTTCATTTGACTTTTATTGCCATCAGTCGACGATTGAATCGGAATCACTAATGTATGTGTATATATGTCTTAATGCAACGGAATAAGCCACAAAAATGTGAGCAACCGAAAAGGAAATTGAATTTTCCCTTCATTCACAGTGGAAAACAACACACATATATATATTTTTCTCGAGAATCAAGATAACAACTCAATTGCAATGCTATAATTGCCAGTTAGTGTTCCTCTCGTTGATTTTTTTTGTGCTTCATTTTTATTTATGCAATACTCAATATAATGTTTCTCTGTTTCTCAACGTAGAGTGGTTAAAATGAAATATTTACTATGTGTATTCAATCTCGTGTGCAATTTTTTCCATAGAATTTCGATTGATTCAAACTCAAACAAAATATCAGAATCAAACTCTTTTGAGGTTTCTTTCTCACTCAGCATTAATGATTTTTTCCTATCCCCTGCAATTCTCATGGCATTGCAGCATTCATTTTTCCCAGAAATAAAACCAATTTTTCATTGACTTAACCGAGTTGGTTGGCTCTTTTTTTCTCTTCATTTCTCTCATTTTTGTTTCGTTTGTTCTATTTGCAATGAGAAACAATGTGCACCATAAATATTTAATATTTTAATAAAACAAAACTAAATTGGATTTTATTTCGTTGTGCAATTTCTTCGTCTTCTTTTCTATTTCATTTTCGTTTTTTCCGACATACATGTATGCATATGTATATGCACATTGCAAGACGATGGAACAGCAATGATGGCGGCAACGGCGGCGACGGACGTTTTTATTTCTCGATTCGTTTCTATTGTGGCTTAACACAAAATGCTTAATAAATAATATTCGTTCGTGCGATTGCTTGTGTTTCTACCATGATGATAATAATAATATTTGCGGCAGAGCAGCAGACATAACACAATATATAAAAGCTTAAAAGCGCATTCGCCTGCAAACAATACAACTAATGCTCAGCAAAGCTAGTCCTGCTCTCTCTCTCTCTATTCCGTACACAAATGTTAAAGTTTCAAGAAAGTATGTCATTTTGTTCGTATGTTCATGTTATTACATTACCATCATATCGTTTCCATTACGAAGGAATGATGTGAACAATAAGGAAAAAATAGCGAGAAATAGTAAACTTTACTGTCATCCGTAGACGCATCCCTCCACTTCTTTCATGCTTGTACTCTGGCTTCATCATATATATATACATACAAAAAACAACATAAGTACATGAAGCAGCAATAATCATAAAAGGAATATTAGGTTTTCCAGCAAAACTTATGCAAACAAATTGATGGTGGTTGGTTATGCTCTTCCTGATATTCGACCAAAACATACATACCAACACAGAAAAATAAATGATTTAAGGTATTTTCGTTGCATCAGCATTTCACAAAATGTTTGCCGAAGTAAGACTCTCTTGTGCCGAGTACGAGAAGAGTCCAAAAAATAGGCACTAAATGAAATCGTGTCGATGAAGGAAAAATAAATGGCAGAGAATAGACACACTTTCAAGATGACGATTTTGATCACCTTGAGAGCACTGAGCCTGCATACAAATTTTGAAATAGAAATTGTTATTTACCTTGACGGTGAGTATGGCGAATAGTGTGGAGTATGCGCTGAATGTGATGTACGAAGTGGAAATCCAGGCATAACGAGTGGCGAATTGCCACCAATTTGGCAGTGTGGACCAACATCGTTGTTCTGTGGCATTTGTTGTGGCCCCGTATTCAACGGCGTTGTAAGTCTGAAATGAAAATGAAAAGAACATTATTTAATTTGGCTTATAAATTTGAATACATAATAATTTTCAATGGAATCTGCATAAAATTGCAATGGCTTATTGACCCATATACGATTTATGTAAAGCCAATGAAGAACACAACCGAAAGCTCTCTAACCGTTCACTGAAAATACAATAACAACACCAGCGCACAAAAATAACACATAGAGAAGTGAAGAGAAGAGCAACAAAAAAATCGCTTTGTTACGGAATTTATTGTGTGTATTCCGTTGTTTTATGGAAATTTCCTATCGTGCATGTTGATCTATCATTATTGCAGCGAACAGCAAAAGCACAACAAACACAATGAGCGAGCGAGCAAGCACACGAAACATTTCCTGAGGGACCAATTGCATTTCCATTCGATTTATGAACCGAACACAGGCGCATTTGCATCACACATTCATCGAAACATTCCGTGACACACATACATAAACACATGTACCAGGCTCTCGTTCATATTGTGAGCAGAGAGAACGAAAGCGAGTGCTGGAGGGAATGAGAGCGAGATAGATTTTGTGTGTCCGTGTGTCTGTTAGTAGTTAACAGTCTGCATTTGCCATTACCAAGCCAAAAATCGCTTCTTCTTGTACAAATTGCATGTAAACGCACAGTTGAGTGGCTCACAAAGGCAAAAACTAAATGAAAACACAATAAATATTTTCCTGTTTTTCCATCAAGAACTCGAAGCCATGGATAAAAGAGAGAAGCGAGAAAAGCGTGTTTCCCAAAACATAAACTAATTCTCCAAAAAGGGAGCCAAAGTTTCACTGGCAACCCTCCCCGAAGAAAATGAAGAAGAGAACCGAAACAAGAATCGAGAGCATGGTATCGGTACTGTAAAGTAGCAAAAGAGTACATGACACATGGATCAAATGTAGTTTATGTGTGTGCTCATGTTACATATCCGGCTCGGAAAATGTGCACTACTTAAGATTAACGGAAATCAAACTTTTGTGCAAAGTGAAAGGCATTGCTTATTATGTATGCTTTTATGCCTTGCATCAAAATTTACTCGGTTACACACAGTGTATGTGTCTTTTATACCGACTAACCTATTTATGCTTGATTTTCAATGCAGATTTGCAAACGCAATATACAGCCGAACGTGTGTGTGTGTGTGTGTTCCATATAGTTTTACGAAAATTAATGTCATTCAATCGTTCGCACAATGTGGCAATGCAATGCCGTACAATTTTGATCATCATCGTCATCATCATCATGATTTAACCATACCCATGTACAAATGCAACTTTTATAATAATTTTATGTAATGTATATTCTTCCATATTTTCTTCAATAATAATTTTCTTGTGCACAAACTCGGCTCCTTGTTTTCATTTCAATAAAATTCTTACTTCATTCAGTCGCTCTTGTTCTCCTCGTCCGTCGCTCTCATTTTAATTTTTGATAATATCTCGAATGTTAGATTAAAGTGGCACTCTTTTTGTTGTTGTTGTATTTGCGTTTACATTATGGGTTTGTTATCATAGCAGAGCATGTATGAGTTTGCGAACGTGTGTGACTCATAAAAGAAACGGATGTTTTGAATTCCAAAGTGGGTATGCGAAAATACAACCGAGCCCATAGATTATTATAGATTGCGGGAATTCCAGAGGCCAAATCCATTCTTTATTCTTACTCTCGAATGCGATGACTGTTTGCATTTTTGCCATGCCAATTCACATGTAAGTGAAAATGTAATGCGCGAATATATTCCGTCCAAAAATCAAATAATTCACATTTTGTTATTATTATTACTGTTAGCGCTGTTATTCTCGCCTCAATATTCAACATTGGCATTTTATTTGATGTATATTTTACATGTTAAATGCGTGCGAGAACGCTTTGCAACAATATCAATCGTTGTGATGTGAGTATGATTTTGATTATTCGCATACATTTATTTTTTATATGAGAGTGTGTGTTGGTATTTGATCTCATTCCATTTTTCCCTTCATGACGACGACATTTGGTGTGCATGGTGTTTGGCATAGAGATTTGGGCTTTTGGATATATCACTTTGACATTGATAACAGCCGATTTGTAGCAGCCGCATTCATCCAGTCAAGTGAAATCGATTTGCACGCTTATCCACACCAAACATCCAACCAAAACATACACAAAAAATACGCACTATTATCCATAGATTGGAAAATCTAATGTGACGTGAATGGAATTTCTCTGCTTTCTGTTCGAACAATCGATATAAAATGATGTTCATTTTTCGGCACCCAACTCATACACACACACGAAAAAAAAACAACCTCCGACCATAAACAAGTCACAAGTGTCGATATTATTCCATGGCACAGATTATTCCGATAAACACTTTTTGTCAGCAATATTATGAATGTATATTCCACAACAAAGAATCTTGTTTATATGCATTTATCTAATATTCTTACACAACTTTCGCATCAACATTTTTATCATCCCCGTTGTGAAAGCGAATGTGTGTGCGCTCGAACAAAAACTGCCGCCCCAGAAAAGCATATATCTCGTATTTCATTTGCAGCAAGCCAATTCAATGGCGTTTCATAAATGTTCGAATAATAAATGAGCGCTTGTTTGTGCTGTGAGCATCATAGCGAAAAAGCGAAAATGACTTTATTATTATAATATGAGAGCCACGCGTATTACATTATCCATCATGGTCGGTTTGCTTGGCAGAAGAAAAAATTTACCAATATATCTATCATTAATTTAATTTCGAATACTGATTAAGTTGTTTCTTTCTCGGGGCCAACTTGTACAAAAAAGCTCTCTCATGTATTATGTTAATCTTGTTTGGCGATTGAAATCGATCGTTCTGTATTTTATTTGGCCGATGATTGAATATCAAATACAAAACCATATCTGATAATACAAGCGAATGCATAACAAGTGCCATAGATTTATATCAATCAGATCAAAATAGCAAATATCACACAAAACTCTTGTCACAAACTTGAGGCGCAGTAAGAGAGCCCCGGAATTCGTAATTAAGTTTTGTTTCGACTGCGAATGACCATTTAAATTTAGCCAAGGACGAATATTTCCGTTCTGAAAATGAACACAAGCAGCTTAATTCCGTATTCGAAAAAAGAAGAAATATCGACAAAGATGAACCGAACATAGTAAATCAATAGATAAGTTTTGTCAAGCAAATGGAAAATATTTGACTAAGTGTATTTGCTCTTGGATTGTATCGAATACGGTTGGTTGTTTTGAAAACACTCAGCAAAACTATGTATATAAATGCTTCATAAATAAAGTCATAACTAATATATATATCAAATTCGAATGATGATGATGACGGCCTCAATGGCATGGTATCCATTATTTTGAAAAAGCACACGATGAAGTTTCCTTTTTATATGCCGTTTGATGTATATTGCTTATTTATTTCGTAGCATCAGCACAACAAAGTCAGATCGAAATGTACAGAATATCATTTGATATTTCCGCGAATTGTATGTGAATGTGTGTCCAATTTTATGTTTGCAGAGGACACGAGATGAATAAATGAATGGGCTGAGAAGTTTGATAACGATTATTAGATACATTTTGTGTTGTTCACGGAAATAAAGTCGGTAAAATTCGATATTATTTTCCATTGAGTATGTGTTGATTCGATAGGTTCACCAAAATCCGATGATGAAAAACAATATTTGTTGGGAAAAAATAAGACCAATTTCCTTCAAACTTGCTTCGAATTCATCGATATTCAGCAAATAAATTTCTCGCATTGAAAACTCCCCTTCTATGTCCCTCTTTCTTCCCTCTCTCTCTCTCTCTCTCTCTCTTTCTCTCTCCATTTTTCTTCTTTTGTTTATTTTGAACGAAATATTTTCGAACTCGAAAATCTGTGTGCGAAAACTTTTCAAAAGCGTCATCAATGTAATCAAAATTTATTATTCTTCTTTTGTAACAGTGTTTTCGTTATGCATATACAATATTTTGCCATAGGCAAATGATGATGATACTTTCCAAGCCGCATTTAAATATATATGTGTGTGTTCTTGATGGAAGAATACAGTGAAATACCGGATAATGCAAAGTGCTTTCAAATGAAATAACCGAATAAAAAAACTTTCATTCAAAATATTTACAAAATATGTAAATAGATAAAAGATAAAGACAGAATGTGCATGTATACACATGGTGGTGTGTGTATTTGTATGTGTTTACTCAGTGCTCACGTTCATTTTACATACATACATTTTGTGCATACAAAATGTGAATCGATAATGATACCACCGCAAACAAGGTGCATGCAACGGAGTGTGGTTTCACCGCAAAAAAAATATAAGCGAAAAAAGCCAGCTACTGAAAAGTTTGTAGAATTTCGAATGTTTATTCAAAATTCATATTCTGTGAATACGTATTCGAGCATTTTTTTTTCATCCACGTATCAAAGCGAAAGAAGGCACAAACAAAAAAAAAACCAAAGAATTGACGACGGCAAAATCCATTTTTTCGACATCGCATTTTTCACTCATGCAAAGATATCATATTTGCAAACTAATCATATCGTATCGATGGATGTTTTCATGAAATATTTTCTTTCACATCAGAGTTGTGGGAAATAGATATTATTTTTTATATGTATAGGATATAAATACGAAGCGGAGCGCATTCAAACGTCATGTACATTATTGAATAAATAGCTTTTGGTTTATCCATTCTCAAAGTTTAATGAAGCTGTTCAACATAAATATTTGCATAGTTTCGTTCTTACTGCTTGGAACTGGCAAATTTTCCTTCGTCCTCTCCTCACTTGCTCTCTTTTCTCATCATTTTCCTTGCACATTGACTTGGCTTTCGTTATTTTGGGGGCGAAAAATGGACAACGGGTGTGAGAATGTAGATGTGGGGTTTGCCTCAAAAACTTTCGAAATAGCTGCATAACTTGAGATTTTCGTATTTAAAATGATGTGCCAAGTGAAATATAAAAGAAAAGCATATTCAATATGAAGAAG